ACCCCCCCCCCCCTCCCCACCATGCCAGGGCCGATTTTCAACCTATAGATTTAACCTCTTACTAGTTCTGCCTTTGTCTCTGCTGGTGTGGTGGTGGACGACAGAATAACAAAGAAGTTTCTTCACCTGTAGGTGGTTGGCGAGTGCTCTGGTGTGGTTTGCGCCTTCTTTCCTATCAAACATCTCTCGTCCTCATTTCCCCCCCTTTTTTTCTATGTTGGTTTCTCTAGTAACATCTCTAATCCACGGAACTTATCAACTATTAGTGTCACAATTGTTATAAAACTCATACTAAAACTAAAACAGAAGTTTACACCTAGATCGAATCTTTTCCTATGCAGCAGAATCTCTTATGGCGAAATCAGAGTGCAGGCAATGGTGTACAGAACAGCACAGCGACCGGTGGCGTGTGACTACTACAGAGGTGTCGCAGCAGTGGTTGTAGTAGTAGTAGGCTACAGTGGCAGCAGAGTGTCCCAGGAGGTCGTGAGTGTCCTCTGAGTCTCTGAGCTCTGTCTTACCTCCCGGTCCTCCGAGTCGTGCGCGGCCAGAGACTGTAGATGCTGGAGCTGGCTAGAGCGCTCGAAGAGGGGAGATAGACACTCCTAGCGGTCGTTTTGTGATAGACAAATGTAATTGGTGGTTTGAGTTCAAGAGGGGGTGTAGATTGAGGGGAGATAGATACTTCTGGTGGTCGTGTTTTAACAAACTAATTGGCAGTTTGGGTTCAAGAGTAGCCGTGGATAAGAGGGGAGATAGATACTCCTGGAGGTCGTTTTGAAATAAACTAGTTGGTGGCTTGAGTTCAAAAGGAGAAGCGTATGGACGATCCCCATAATGTTCGTTTTGTGTTTGGAGAAAGGAAAAGAGAGGCAGACTGGTACAAGGAAGGAGGGAGACAAATATTCCTGTAAGCTTGCGTCTGTTTGTTTGTTTGAGGAAAGAGAAGCACATAGACACAATAACGGAGATTAAGGGCAGGGGAAAAAATATAAATTTACTTGATTTGTAAGGGCACAGTGAGAGAAAGAAACAAGGAAAAGAAATAGGACTCAGCATTGTCTCGTTGATTGTCTCGTTGATTGTCTCGTTGATTGTCTCGTTGACTGTCTCGTTGACTGTCTCGTTGACTGTCTCGTTGACTGTCTCGTTGACTGTCTCGTTGACTGTCTCGTTGACTGTCTCGTTGACTGTCTCGTTGACTGTCTCGTTGACTGTCTCGTTGATTGTCTCGTTGATTGTCTCGTTGATTGTCTCGTTGATTGTCTCGTTGATTGTCTCGTTGATTGTCTCGTTGATTGTCTCGTTGATTGTCTCGTTGATTGTCTCGTTGATTGTCTCGTTGATTGTCTCGTTGATTGTCTCGTTGATTGTCTCGTTGATTGAAGCAACTGTTCCTTTGGCTTCAGGAGAAACAGACCAAAATAGAAACGGTCATTTGTGAGGCAGTGCGGCGGAAACAGGCTCTTGTCAATTTTTGGGTATATTGAGTTATTGGTATCATCTTAAATCTTGTTCATTTGTCTTGCTTTCAATGAAAAAATTACCCATCCATCTTCAATAGAAGTGAAGATATTTTGGATTGAAGGAGGTGGGTGTCACATGGTTTAAGGGGTAAAATTAGCGAGAAAATGGCTGACAAAGCTTGGTAAATTCCAAGTTCACGGAAACTGTAAATTTATATTTTTGTGCCTTTAATCAACGTTTTCTGTGAAATCTTCAAAGGAATGTATTTGTAAATGGACATAAAAGGTGTTGAGCCAAAAAACAAAAAATTGATAAAAATAGCTTAGCTGGGAGAAAACTTCTGTTTTCTTCGATTTCATTATTTTGACGAGAGCCTAATTCCACCACGCTGCCTCACATTTAGTCCTCTAAGTAAAAAAGGCTGAGTTGACAGTTAAGAAGCTGAGAGTATCAATAATGTCTTCGAACGAAAAAGGATGTCGTTACAAAATTCAGAGAAACAAGACAAAGCACTGGAGACGTGAGATGAAAACTGCGTGGTGAGTCGGGTCAGTGGTTTCAGAATCATGCTGTGCAGAACGTGAGTAAGTAGATGACCCCTTGACTTGTCCAGCACATACTGTGTGTTGTGGTAAAGTTACCAATGTTATAACTGCAGGCGCAAGGACAAAGACTTGAAGCAAACAGTGAAACCAGACTTTGACAGTCAGTTCATAGTAGTAAGATTATTATTATTATAATTAGGTATATTAATATGGCTGTATGGGACTCTGTTTAAACAGACAACATGTTATTTATATGATCACAGGAAAAATTACGGCAGTTGATTAATACATGTTGCATCGAGGAAATGTTTCGTCATTAAACTAAAGGGCAGATGACACAATAGTGTCACCACGGTGACATTGTTATGTAAGTTTGTCATGAACACAATGGTCAGTCAACTTGATAATGAAATCTGTCTACAACGCTACCTTTTGAAATTGAAAAAAAACAAAAAACTTTCTCGTGTCATACCCACATATACATACTTTGGGATATAAAAAAAAAAAACAGTTTAAAAATAAACTTGGTGTATATCCTTGTGAAGCAAAAGTAGAATAATGTCATAATCTGCAAGGAATAATTCTGAGTTTACAGAAATTAGTTCCTGTGTTGCTGGATCTATGATTAAAAACAAAAACATCCCCACAACCCCACTCAAAACCTCGTGCTGCTGAAAAAAAACAATCAAATCCAAGTAACAGAACACAATACTATTACTTCTGCCTCAACGTTCTACATGTTTAACGCTATACAACAGCAGTACCACCTTCAGGACTAAGACTTTGACTTGAACAGAAGCGTCTCTATTTAACCAGTCAAAACCATTCAACAAAACCCTTTTTTAGACACACGTAGCATTTCATCCAGTTAGTGTAGTATGACGGGTGTGTGATCCCAAACCGCCCCATGATGTGTCAGTGAGTGAGCTGGTTAAGACAAGCTGAGGACATGTATAACCACTAGTATTTCTTGGGTAGTAGACATAAATAAATAGAGCAGGGCGTCATAAGTGGTGTGCACGACATAAGACCCTCTCAACATTAATTAATATTATAATCGATAAAAATTCCGCCATTGAAAGATGACATGGCTTAAATAACCATATTACGGTAGAATACAATACTGTTACAATTTAACTCACTGAAAGTTGAATCAAAACTCATAAAAAGATTTTTAGTTTGATAACCTTCACCAAAGTTGGCATCTCTCTCTCGCTCTCTCCCTCTGCCTGTGCCCCTCCCTCTTTCTCTCTCTCTCCCCTTCCTACCCAAATCCGTAAAACGCATCAACGGAAACTTAAACCCCACACATCACACACCGAGTCCGAAAACAGACTTCTTCCTGCAATAAGGAACCTACAGATATCTACCACACAAACAATTTAAGCACCGCTAGCAACCTATAACACTATCGTTAGATTGATCCCTTCACGAAAATTCGGTGAAACGCAGTTTGGAGGGAAAAAAAGAAAATCCTGTCAAGAAATCGTCACCTCAGACCTATTTTGTCTAAAGTGTACTTAAGTAAAGAGGCACTTTGGAGAAAATAGTTCTGATGCGACGAAATGCTAGAAGGTATAATATCATATTATTATTATTATTATGAGAGCAAGAACCGTCATGCCAGCAGCGACTGCCACCACAACAACAACAACAGAGTCGGTGAGCGTACCATGGAGGAGGTCTGTGTGAGGGAGGGACTGCCTGAGCCACCCAGCACACGGGGCAAGGCGATCTCACTGCGACGTCGCATCTGTGAGGGGAGGGGAGGGGAGGGGGGGGAATAAACCAATATATATAGATGGATTAATGTATAGATACGTAAATAGATTATTAAATAAATAAACAAATAGACAGACAAATAGTCAAATAGATAAACAAATAAATAAATACATGAATCGATAAATGAATAAATGAAAAAATAAATACATGAATTAATAAATAAATACAACAAAAGAAATAATAATAAAGAAAGAAAGAAACAACATAAGACATGACAAATAATATCTACAAATGTCAATATGAACCATACTACTGGCAATAGTAATGCTTGCGGCTTGGTCACTGTTTCAAAACACCAAAGGACTGATGACCCAGCATCAGCGAAAAATGTTCTAAAATACATGAATATAAAAATGTGCTTTGGAAACGAAATTATGTACCTATTTCTGTAAGGCTGTGACCCCAATCAAGTAACAATAACCTATTTTATTAGTTTTTCTACAATCCCGCCGCCCCCTCCTACCCCAAGAACAAAATGTTCAATGATACGATAGAATGGCTCCAATTATTTCTAGACCTTGTTTCTTTTCGCTTTCCATCTAGTCATATAAGTTCAACGTAATTCTTTTAGTTGAAAGAAGAAATGGAAAAAAAGAACTATAAAAAAACCCAGCAAACAAAACAAAGGAAACCTTGGGCAAAAAACCCACGTTACACCCAACCTCCCCCCCCTCCCCCCAAAAAAAAAATTTAAAAGAAGAGAAAATTAAAAGAAGAAAGGGCAAACAAATAAACAGAAAAAAATCCAAAAATCCCCCAAAACTCAAAGGAACAGAAAATGGCGCCATCTCACCACGAAGTACCTTATTGTAGTAAGAAAAAACTCCCAAACATTTCTTTGTTTATCCATGTGAAGAGAATCACATCGAGACACAATAACGGTAATCTAATCTAGTACAGAGGAAAGGAGGACTGACACGTCAAAAAGAAAGAACAACAGCAACAAAATTAAGCATAATAATATCCTCCAATAAGAAAAAAAAAGGTTTTTAGTTTTTAGTAGAGGTTTTACGGCGCTCGCAACTGCATAAAAGGTCATATGAGCGCCAGAAGATTAGAGGTGTTACAAGAGAGCAACAAACATAAAAAAGAAGAAGGGGAGATCAGGACGACAGATGTTTGATAGGAAAGAAGAAGCAAACCACACCAGAGCACCCGCCAACCACCCACCAATGAAAAATAGCAAGGATTAGCGAAGTCCACAAAAGAAGAACCCACCACCCACCCAGTCAAAAGATTAAAAGAAGGAAGGCACGTAACTGAGCGAATAAGCAGCGGATACACAGACAAATCAACAGACATAGTAAGAATGAGTAGGCTGTTGAGTTTATTATCCGAAATGATTGCCGTAAGATTGGAGAGACCTGTGACCCATCACCAAGAGCTGCACACTGTGAGAAGCTGCCACAAGCATCGGCTACGATGACATTGCCACAAGCACACAGAATTCACAAAATCATCAAAGGAGGTAGACATTTAAGTAGAACAACTTGTTCACAGAACGATGAAGAACTTTTTCGACAACATCAAGCGTTTGTGATGCCAAGGGAGAGTTATTTATTAAAAAGACCCGAATGAAGCAGACAACACCCAGGGGAAAAGACAACAGCAGCATCGCACAGACACACGTCAGACTCTCGACTCTTTTGAAAGCAACCCCAGTTATATAGAGTTTACTAACCCATATCCTCGATACATCACATGCCCCCTCCCCTGTTCCACACACACACACACAGACACACACACAGACACACACACATACACGCACGCACGCACACACACACACGGAAAGAAAAGAAAGGTAATAAGTGAATACATTAGAAAGGTAATACGTCAATACAAAGAAGGGCAGCGATAGACATACATTATACACCAGGCGGGAAAAAGGAAGGGAAGTAACAATAATATTATATCTTTGCGGCTGTGGGGGATTAAGTAAGGGAGGTAACAAGACATTGTGCCCGTGTCTTACATGTACAGGGTAGGGGTTATCTCCCGCATCGTTCACGGAGCGGCTGCGAGGTGGCGGGGTGAGGCCAGGCTGCTCAGTGGAGGAAGTGGACGGTGGTCATTATGAGTGGGAGGGAGAAGGAGAGGGAAGGAGAGGGAGGGAGAGGGAGAAGGACGGAGAGGGAGAGCAGAGGGAGAGGAGTGGGAGGAAGAGGGAGAGGGGAAGGAGAGGGGAGGCAGAGGGAGGGATAGGGAGGAGGAGGGCGGAGGAGGAGGGAGAGGGGACGGACAGGGGAGACGGAGGGAGGGAGAAGGAAAGAGAGACCGAGAGAGAAAGACATTAGGGGAGAGAGGGAGAGAGAGAGAGAGAGAGAGAGAGAGAGAGAGAGAGAGAGAGAGAGAGAGAGAGAGAGAGAGAGAGAGAGAGAGCGTGCGTGCGTGCGTGCGTGTGCGTGTGTATGTGTGCGCGCGCGCGCGCGTGTGTGTGTGTGCGTGAGTGTGTGTTCACTGTTTGTGTGAATGCCTTTAGCTTAGTATATTATAAAAGTGTTTGCCGTCTGAAACGGTGTGCACTCGTGTGTATGCGTGTATGACAATGCTTGAAAACGAAGATGTTTATCATCGTCATTCTAGCTGAACTCCGGGCAAAAACGTTGTATTAGAACAGCACCACAGTCACAGATGTAACCTTTCTCTCCTGATCTCGGTGCACACCATCGTGAGAAACATAACACGTGTGGGTGGTTCCAGTCAGCCCAGGCTTATATAGCCAGGTCAGATTCAAAGTCTCTCGTTCTGTACAACAGCCACTCTGGTTTTAGTTATGCTTTAGTTTTAGTGAAAGGTTTACGGGACTTCCAGCACAATTAGACAATGTAAGTGTTGAAGATTATAGATGTAACTAGGGAGTAACATACAAAGAGAAAAAGGAGGAAAGATAGGGACGGTAGATTTTTGCCAGGAAAGAAGGAGCAAACCACACCAGATCAAAGCACACACAAAGTTACAAAAGTACTCAGTACAAAAGGTCGAGCCATTGTTCCTATAACAGAAGTGGCGTTGATGATGTCGCATTGCCGTCTACCAAGTTTCGTTGTTTGTTTGAATACAGAGAAGCACATTGAAACAATGGCATTCATTTAGCAATGAAAAAAAAAAAGGAAGACAGCCAGACAAAAACACAATTAAAAGATGGAAAGTAAAATGTACCAGTGGCGTCATTCAAACACCACATTTTTGTCACTGACAAATTGAGACGACAAAATAGCGGAACAAACACACGGAACAAACAAACGTTAGACCACGTCAGAGTGTTTATAAACTCCTCTTGTGTACAGGTGAGATAACTGAGACTTTGCTGTTCACGGAGCTTAAAGGAAAACAAAATCATTGAGTAATTTGATACTTTAGAGCAAGGAGAAAATGGCTTGTTTGGTGGACAAAAAAACATGGTGAAGACAAAGAGCAATGTTCCACCGTGTGTCTTCAACCAGTAACAGACAAGGAGCGAGAGACAAATTAATAAAGGAAGTGAAAACAAAATCAGACGAACATTTTCTAAAGAACTGAAACTTCAGAGCCAAAAAGGAATGACAAAATACAGAACAGTGTTAGCGTCTTATGTGTGTTGGCAATAATGTGATAGTTTTAAAAAATCCCATCATATCATTCAAACAAAGTACAGGAACACTTACCGGCCGTCCACCAGCGTTGAACCCACACACAGACATAGACCTGCGGTTGATGCCGGAGTCTGGGAACACAGGGGAGTTAGGAAAAGAGTTTTTGTTTTAGTGAGTGTTTTACGGCCCTTGCAACACAATAAGGTCATAAAAGTGGCGAAGATTAGAGGAGTTACAAGATAGTAACGATTAGAGGTGTTACAAGATAGTAAAGATTAGAGGTGTTACAAGGGAGTAAAGATTAGAGGTGTTACAGGATAGTAAAGATTAGAGGAGTTACAAGAGAGTAAAGATTAGAGGTGTTACAAGATAGTAAAGATTAGAGGTGTTACAAGATAGTAAAGATTAATTAGAGGTGTTACAAGAGAGTAAAGATTAGAGGTGTTACAAGATAGTAAAGATTAGAGGTGTTACAAGAGAGTAACAAACACAAAAAAGGAGGAGGAGAGAGAGGGACGATAGCTTTTGATAGGAAAGAAGGAGTTAACCACAACAGAGCACCCGTCAACCACCCACAGAAAAGAGTTGGACGCAAAGTCGAGATGGTGGGGAAAAAAAGCTCAAAAAAGAAAAAAAGAGAAAAAAAATTTTGTTTAAACATTTGAAAAAGTTTTAATGCCGAAAAGTAAAGTACAATAAATAAATATGTAGGCCTACAGGTTCTAAAATAATAAAAACAATTAAACCAAACACCTGACATAATTCTCCCTGCCCCAAGAAAAGAAAAGAAAATCCCTTAAACAATCAACAACAAAACTTGTCAAGCTCTCTATGTGTATAGGACCTGCTATCACGCTGTCTGGCACTACAACACTATACTGCCGTAAGCTGACAAAACGCCTTTTTCATTTTGGCGCAAAAAATTTTATTTGCTACATCGCAAGTCTGATAAGTTACCCTACTTGTGTAAACAAATCAAAGTGAAAGTGGGACTAGTTTTTTTAATAAAGTGGAATACAAATTTCGGAATCATTCTGTTTTTAAATGGTTACGCTGACAAAAGAAACTCTTTTTCTCGAAATTGCAGTGAAGGGAAAAAATGCGTTTTGTTAGCTTATGGCAGTATAATCTATAATACTAATATAGCACTCACCAAAGTCTGGGCTGAGGCCGGGCCCTGAACGCTCACTCAGCACCTTCCTGCACCAGACAAGAGAAAACAGCGATCAGAAAGCCACCAAGATACACACACAAGGTTTTTTTCTTCACGTAAAGAGATGCACACCGAGACAATAACGGTCATTTAGCGCAAGGGAAAAGTAAGACATTTTTTTTTTAAATATTTTTTTTTTTATAGTAGAGGGTTTTACGGCGCTCGCAACTGCATACGGTCATATGAGCGCCAAGGGGTGGGTGGCAACAGAGAAGTCCTTACAGGGAATCATACTTACTCTGCTCACCTCTCTAGCTTCAACAGCACAAGGTCTGCTTCGACTATCAAGACATCCCAGAAATACAGGTCACAAGAGAGTGACAAAAAATACCCCAAAAAAAGTAGAGGAAAATGACAATAGTAAGGATTAAGAAAGAAAAAGCAGCAGTTTCCTGTTGCAGATCAGGCACAGTTATGAGCATGACGTGATGAATCAGCCCATTTACAATTCTACTGTGCTTGAACGAGAAATGTCCCCCCTTTGGGAATGGCCTAAAGACACTACAGTCAGTGGAATTGCCCCCCC